ATAGTGAATTCATAATATTTGAACATCAAAAATTTATTGATACCTCTTTTCTCAGTTGTGTATTTGTGTTCAAGTGCTTCCCAAATTTCCTTTGGAGATTGAATGTGTGCATACAAGTCATATAATCGATCAGATAATGTGCCCAAGATGTGTCCTCGATATACCAATTCATCTTCTTCCCGCTTCTTTCAATTAGAAACTATTTTGTCTGAGTTTTTGTCACTTGGTTCACAAATAGGCCACAATTTCGAGTTTAACACATATAGACATTTAGAACAATAAGCATGAAACGCATCTTGTCCTTCCATCGGGTGAAATTTGATCCATCAAATTTGTCTAGTTTGTAGACATCTTGATTGATAATCTTCAAAGCCATGTTATCATATTTGTTCTCCATGACGAAAATAACACTTTAAGATTGTTGGATTAAAATGTAGAAATATAGGGAATAATCTGAATGATGACTTTAATGTATGACTTGAATCATTTCCTTAAAGTGTTATTTGCCCCCACTCGAATGAGTTTGCTAAAATGTTCTTGGAAAATCACTTACTGGATACAACAAAGTATGAATATTCGATTAGCAAAACCAAATTATATTCCCTTAGAAATAACTAGAAAGAAACTGTATGAATGTGATGGAGAGAGAATAGAGTAAGGAATGTAGAAACAAATTTATGAAACTGTGTGTGAAACATTAAGGCACATGTTCATCGAGTCCTTTCATTTTAGTTGAAAATATACAACTCTTCTTAAAAGTGTTGATCCAAAAGACATGTCTTCTATTTAATATTTTCAAAAAATAAATATTGACTAATTACATCTTTTAATTCTACTCATACAATTTGAGTAAGTATCATGTCTTTTAACCAAAAATTGCAATTATTTAACAAAATATACAATCGTAAAAGGTTGAATAAAACACAACCCTTTATAAGGTTGGTACCCTTTCTACGCGCATACACATGCTGCACAACGCAGCCAAGTCATATATATATATATATATATATATAATAATTTATATATTTATTATTGAAATCTCTAACAGTTTTTACAATTGTTATGAATGTTGTTATTAGGTTAGTTTTGTGACTTTTGTTTCTTATAAAGATAAAGATGTCTGGTTAGATTTTGGTAAAATGAAATATTAATTACGGTCGTTCATGAATGCGTAGACAATTTCAAAACATTGATTTTTTTGTTTATGCATACGTAGATGACTTTGTCTTAAGTCATTGATCTAATGTAGGACGGGTGGACGTCCATAGAATTGGCCATGCAAGATCACAAATGTTTAGGCTTCATTTTCTTGAGTAACTTCTGAGCATACTACAAATAGACATTCAACTTTAGAATTTTAGAGTTTTTAATTGTTAGTAAGACTTGTTGGGCTACTCTTATATATATATAATCCAACGCATGTCGATATGAATATTTCTCCACTTCTAAATTTAAAATCTGAGGATTTATTTTATGATTCGACACCTGATTATGGAAGACATGTGTAAGCTTTTGATCGCATGAGCTTTGTTGCGGTGTGGGGCAGTTGTAGTTGTACCAGCTTTGACATGTCTACACAAAACAAAAGACTCCCCAAATTGAAAATTGAGCACCAACAAAAGTTGAAATAGTGATGTACAAATATACTTGTGGAGCTAATGAGTCCTTACCTACTACAAGACTCCACCTCACCCTTACATTATCTTTAGTGTTTATTATCCTTTGCAATATGTCACTCTCTTTACCTACCAATATGTCATGTCTGTACCGATATTTTTTTGGGGCTGTTTTATGGAATAGGATTTTCTTTTCTCTTTTTTTTTTTTTCTTTCCTTTTCCTTCTATTTGAACGGTCACGGTTAAACCACGTTAATATCTTATAATAATTTTTAATAACAAGAAAAAGACAAAGTAAGATAATGTGAGAGGAGGGGATGGAAGGAGATGAGAAGAGAAAGAAAAAGAATCCTAGTTCCTGTTTTATTTCTTGCTTTTAGCCATGGAATCTTTGTAATTTGTACTTGTTATAAAAATTCCCTTTGACCAAAAAAAAAAAAAAAAAATTATCCCCTTTGTTAGGCGGTGCAAGTTCAATGATATAGTGCTCTCAATGATCTTAGGAACATATACGATGCCAATATTTCACCATTACTAGGTCCCACTTCAGGAAATGAAGTGGGTCAACAAAAATTCAGGAAATAATACTGTCTTCTGCATGAAGACTAATTGGTGTTCTTAAACTATATTTCAATAAGAATAAATAAATATTTGCTAATCATTGGTTTACTTCTTTTGTATATTTTGTTGAGCATATCTAAAAGAGTGATTAGCGTCATACTAATTGATAGCTTCTTCTGATATGTATTTGCATTTTGTTAGTTTACTTGGTGTTTTTTATTTTGTGTGATTAAACTAATATGTCAAATATATACTTTGCAGGTGTAAAGATAATGGGAAACCCAGAGCAGAATCATACAAGTTCACAAACCAGAAGCTACGAGATTTAGGGTTGGAGTTCACCCCAGTCAAACATACCCTGTATGAAACTGTCAAGAGCTTGCAGGAGAAGGGCCACCTTCCAGTCCCTACAAAACAAGAACAAGATTCCATTAAAATTAGATCTTGCTTATAATTGTATAAAAAGAAAAGAAGCATGAATATGTTTAAGTCCTTGATTGTTTGTTTGTTTAAATACTTATCTTATTTTGGTCCCTATAATAAAGCTGCAACGGTATTTTTAATACTAGCTTCTAGTGGAGGAGGGCACAGCTTTCAGGAAAGATGTTGTTTGCAGTCCCATTTCTGAATTCTGCGAACCAAAGAAATTTTTGTAATGAAGTCAATAACTCTTAAGCCAAAGTATCTTTTATTTTTCGGAACGGTTAATTTTCTGACTTCTGTTCGTAATTTCCAACTAATTATTTGCATGGTATAAGATTAGGAAAACATCCCCATGATAAGGAAAGATTTTTAGTGTATCAGGAACATACCTTCTATAAAGTATTATTATACAAGTGGATGAACACTTGAAAAAAAAAAATAATTTCTCACTTATTTTATAACACTTGAGTACTGAGCCGTATTCATAGTACACTGCAAAATCTCTCCATATAAGCAAATGGATAAAAGGAAATTTAAAAGGAAAGCAAATACTATTGTGCAAAATTGTTTTAACAGTTTGGAATTTTCAATGTACTATTAATACGAAGGTGTGATCTTTTATCTCAAAATACTTCAATACAATTTAGGAAGTTACCACTTAATATGTACTATTATACAAGGACATTTACTTTTTCTGACGTGTGACAATTGTATTTGATTCACAATTCCTAACAACGCTTTCTCTATCACATAAGTGAGAATATTTGTTTAGTTCAGACAGAATCGATCCCCTTCGGATCCCAATAATCTAAGCCTAAGGATCAAATGATCCGTGCTGTTGAAATTTAATCCAACGGCTACAAATAGAAGGTCTCTCTAAAAGTTATAATAATTGTAGCAGTTGTATCAAATTTCAACGGTCCGGATCAAATGATCATTGGGCTCAGATTATTGGAATCCGGAAAGGATCCGGTTCCAGTTCAGACAGCGTGCCAACTCTATCTGCAAATTCAATTAAGAATTTAATTATTTGAATTGGTTTAGGACTTTGAGGCCTCAAATTCCTCCTAATGTGGGATTGGATGCCATTGTAGGGCGGCCGGTGTAATTGGATGACTCAAAAAGGTGTGGAATAATAGAAGGGAAAGATATATACAAGTAACCTACCGACCAAGGAACAATTGGTTGGTTTTCTTGGTGAAGCACGTGCGGTGCGAAGTTGGTCGATTATATTGTTAAACAGTCACAAATATTCAATTGTAATGCTGACCCTTTCAAAGGAAACTCCACCATATGAGGACCAAACAAAACTCATGATGCCACGCGTATGTATTTCGTAAGCCTGCATGAGCATTATACCATATAAATATTAATAAGGAAATGGTTTTCAGTCATTTTAGCGTTACACACTTCTCTGTTTAATACTAACTCTTTATTTCATTTTATTATTTAATTCGATGATCATAAATTAAGAAAGTCGTGTTCAAAGTTAAAATGAGTCCGCGAAAATTACTTTCCTATATATATATATGTGTGTGTGTGTGTGTGTGTGTGTAATAAATATAGGTATAGGCAGTGACAGATCCAAGATTTAAACCTTGGGGATCCTAGTGTTAATACAAGTTTTTTAGATAGGAAAAGAGTGAAGCGCTCAAAAAAAAAATATATAATAATTCAGTTTATTCACTTGGTGGGCTTGTTATGCATATGTCAACAGATATCAGCATGCGCCGAAATAATCTGATGAGTAATATAGAGAGAACTTGTCGAGTATTGTCAACGCAACATGTCGAAATATGCCTAGCATGCATTGCAGCGAACATTTAATAGGCACAAAAGGACCTGTAATAACGTTCGGAAGGTCATCAGAAAACCTTCACATGTATATTTTTCGGACTGGGATGGTCTTGAGACCACCTTGGTCCCTACTTCCATCCACCCCAGGGTATAGGGAAGAACATATTATAAATAGTGTGCTTATTTGATCGTTTGGTACATAGACGAGACAAGACAGAATGAAATGGGACGGGATGGGATGGGATAGGACGGGACAGAACAGAGGTTCCGTGTTATGTTTGGTACGCGCAGGATGGAATGGGGCAGTTGTTCTGTTCTGCGTTTGGTACGCGTTGGACGGAAGGGAATCAAAAGATTGTATGACTAACTTACCCCTATTCCGTCTGTTGTTTGGTACAATGTTTATGCGTGGGACAGGACGATACAATTTTGTTTTTTTTTTTGTTTTTTTTTTTTTTTTGAACTTGTTCATATTTAAACACATATATGCTTATCTATGATATATTTTTTACAGTAGCACATGACCAAAGATATGCCATTTCTTGATCGAAGACATGGCAGAAGAAGCAAAACGAAAAACAATGGCAGAGAATTTAGCGAGAGAAAGTGAATGACTAAAGATTGTATTTCTTGAGCAATGAATGAATTACAGAGAGAGGTGTTTGTTATTTATACAAGTATTCTTTGCTTCACTCATAGTAACCAACTAACTTCCTTATATCCCTACGAATCCCAACAGTATAACAGCCTTCCTACAATTTGATGTGTAACCTTCATGCTGATGTGTTTTTAAAGCCATACCGATGTATACATATCAGTCAACAGACCCATGGCCTGAAGAAATAACTTCATGTTTCTTGAGTATTCATCTAATAAAAGGTTATTTGGATCTTTAAGATAATCTAATGTGCTGCTACAACATACATGGAGACCTATAAAACAAAAAGCAAAGAGTATTAATAAAATAGAAAAAGTACACAATTTATCAGCAAGCCATGAATGACCAATCTCGTGATAATTCCAAATCATGTTTTTTTTTTTTTTTTTTTTTTTTTTTCGGACGATAATTCATTCAACACTTAAACGATAGAACTCCCATATACAAGGAGGAGAGATGAGCATATGAGAACACCAAATAAACTTCAACAGACTATCTTTTACAATCACACACACTAGTAAAACTGCTTGCAAGTCACAATCTTTCACATTGTTTTTCCTAAACCGCATGCATGCTTCCCCCCTAGCAAAAGCAGTTACAAACTTACATGATGTCTGACATGGTTAAAGACAAGGGCAACTTTTACAAAAGAGACCATTTAGGTTAATTACTGAGTTCAATTCCACGAGAGCAAATGTATCCAAGCTTTCCAGAATTAAAATTGAACTCAAATTTTGTGTGACTCAGGGTTCAGTTACCTACCTGTTCATCGGGGTACCTCTCGAAGTGTGAAGATACTGAACCTAAACTGTCAGTTTCTCCAGAGCTCTTCTCAGAAGACTTCTTCTTCCACAACCACTTGCGCTCCATCTACGGTTCAATTCTCCAACTCCCCAATTAGCACATCACAATGTGTTCATCTACAACACACAATTACAATTTTACAGAGTCATCAAAAACCGACCTCAAATCCTCTTCAAAATTGCATGAAACAGAAGATGAAAGCCTTAAATAGTTAGCCAACAACGAAATCCTTAGAGATTGTTGTTGCAAAACTATAACTCCAACTAATACAGCAAAGCCTTTCAAATTTAGGAAGCAAATTCTTTCCACCAAATCTAAAGCATTTAAGCAAAAAAAGAAAGCCTTCGCTTATCACATTCTCTCACCCTTACTTCAAATCCGCTCCAAAAAACATCTAACCCAAAATATTATCACACTATATAAGAATCAAAACAAAATGGATCTGCAGACTCGCTCACTCTGAAGACTCGATGATTTGCAGCTCCAGCAGCATCACATCCAACTCAATCAATTGCTTCTGAAATAGTGAAAAAACCATGACAATGTGCAATCACTAAATACCCAATTCTCACAAAACAAGAACAACCCAATTCTCGAAATCACAAAAGAAGAACAACCCAATTGATAAATTGATGAAATTTTGCAGAATACCCAGTTTCAGAAGCCAAAATTGCATGAATGGAACAGTGCTTGCATCAGAAAATAAAGGGAAAAAAAACAAAAACCAAAATATCCAACACAAAAGCTCCAATTTAAGAGCAACCCAGAAACTCAAATTCAAAAAATTATCAAAATTTTGAAGTACTAAAATTCAACTTAGAAAGAATAAAAGGAGGAAGACCCAGATTAAAGAACCAGCTTTTTCCATCATACAATGCCAAGCTCACAACTGAACCCACTAAATCGCACAGCTCGGTACCAGATTCAATTCTTTACAAACCAGAATCGTAATAAACCTTAAAAATCAGACTTTGTTCTTTTTCCCAAGCACAAGTTAAACTAGAGAAACCAAGAAAACTACCTTATTTTCTCATAAGCATCCTATTTTCCCAGAAAATTGAAATTTTCATGGAAAAATCAAGAAAACGAACCTGGAGATGCAGCGGCTACGGGAGAAGATCGAGATTGAACCTGGAGATGCAGCAGCTACGGGAGAAGATTAAGATCGGACCTGGAGATGCAGCTGCTACGGGAGAGGATGAGGAGGAAGGCTACGGGAAAAGTCAGCGGCATGCAGAGAAGATGGAGCGGAGAAGATAGAATTTTAGGGTTTGTTTTTTGGATGGTGTAAATATTGATAAAGATGAGGGGTATTTTTGTCTTAAAATGTTATAATTTTGTGCTCCACGGATGTGGAACAAGTCGTTCCAGGGGGTGAGGTGGAACCAAAATTCACCCAAAACTCATCCCGCAACGTGTTCCACCCGTTTTAGGTGCACCAAACGTGGGATGGAACGGCTTGTCCCATTCCGTTCCGTCCCGTCTCATCCCATGTACCAAACGGTACCTATGCATTGGCCGTATGGGAAGGGTTGAAAAGATACCATAATGTTGCTGCCGCTCAACAAACATCCCATCCCGCCATTAAAAAAGGGGTTATTTTTTCTTCGAAGTTTCACCCATGTAATGTACGTACTCAAGTTCAATTCTAACCCCCACCAACTGTATTTTATTTTATAGTTGCGTAGACTCGTAACTCCAATCTCCAATATTACAAGCAATTTTCTCCTTCGTCTCCAGACTTTCCTTTATATTTTCCCCCCTTTTCTATAGTATGCACTGAGCAGATAGATTGACGCCGACGGTGTAATATATTCTACGTTTAGAACGAGTCATCTTCTACGTACGATAAAAACTTCTATTTATATTATATAGCTATAACATTGAGACCGAGCCAATTTTATTATTATTACTTAATAGAGGCGTAATTAAAAAATATATATATATATATATATATATATATATATTCTTTTACTTAGCTATTCTTAATGAAAGTTGAATAAATACAAAGAACTTCGTGTGGTGAAGGATGTCAATTTTCAAGTTGTAACATTAGAAAAGTAGACACCTAATTATTCAAGAGAGACCTTTTTTCATGCAAAATGTTGTGTTTAAAAAATCACTCAAGAAATATGGAGTATTTGATAGATTGCTATGAGTCTGGTTTGGTAAACAAATGATTCGCTAGAGAATAAGTATTAAATTATGATCTATTTTGTCAATGTGAAACATTTGTCACATGAACAATATACAATTTTTCTACATGTTATATACTTGTTTGGATTATAAATGAAAGACATGAGACTTTGTACCATATGGTTGGACTTACATTTGAAACCTTCCCTACACTCCCCCAATGTCATGTGAGCTCAGGTGCAACTGGTTGCATACCATTTTCTTATATCTCCAATCATTTGACGATAGATAAATTGTATGTAAAGCGTTGCATATGTTCTCTTTGGTGTTTGAGGGCCGTCAAGGAAGACTTTCTCGTATGCATGTTTTAAGGGGTTGTTTGGTATTCAATTTGAGACTAAAAGATGGAAAATGAAAAACTAGTGGAAGTGGCTTATGGGGGAAATACAAATTATATTTGATTTATGTCAAAACACAACGACAAGAGTAAATTAAAAGATGTGTTATTGATCTAGTTTAGACAACTATTTTCCTTTCAGGGTGCCTAATGTCCGAGAAAAACTCCGTTATTAATCTATCTTGTGCAACTACTCATCAGTCGATATCTTCGGTAGACCTCTTCTGAGGCAGCTGCATGCTTATAATGTCTTCTCTTTCGAGGTGATACATCGATCCAGGACCCTGCTGCCCAGTTTCCGTTTGCCTACTTTCAGGCGTTGTTAGAGCCAAAAGATGCGTAGCCTCCTTGTTTTTACGGAACACCAGATACGCGATGCCAGCCAAATACAATCCCATACCAGAGAATCCTAATATTCCAAGAAAGACAATGCCCACAACTTTGAAGTGGCTGTGAAGAAGCAACTTGATAAATCTACTCATCAGGTAGTATAAATTTATGGCCATCATCAGAGAACCAATGATCCAAGTGAGAGCTGAAATCTGCAATCGGAGACATATAACATGGCTAATAAAAACGATTTCCTAAGCTATGGAGCGTACAACAGTTTCAGATTGGCTTAGTGGAAAAAAACAATTTTTCGGGAAATTCATAAATGCTTTATCTATGCAATGCTGAAGTATGTTAAGCAATTGACGCTCCAGAAAGCTTCTAGAAATAAAACTAAAGGACTTGCAATCAAATTTATTACAACTGACTAGCAACATATGTCAGTTGTAAATATTACCGCAGTAGAGTTGGCATGTGTCCCCATCTTGGTCTTGCAACTTGTGAACTTAAGAAGTGGAATAAGAGCGAAAGGCAGCGCAAATGATAAAATCATCTATAAACACAAAATCATAAGATTTGTAGTTAGTGACATGAGTCAATTTTAAAATATTAATTATATGCATAATCCAGCTTGTTCTTGTATATATGCAATTTGAAACGAATAATAACAATTCAAAAGTTTCTTATCAGTACAGCACAGTGCTCAAACGCAGCACGATATCAAGGCAAAATGATGCAACATGTTCCATGAACCTCTAAACAAGCGATAGACACGGACAAATGACATGTCCAGTAGGCCAATATGGAAAAGCTTCAACTTGTCCGTTTATTTCAGGGCCCTCCAAATGGACAGAACAGATCCAAATAAAATTATACAATTGTCAGTTCATTTTGAGATCAAATTAATGACCTTTTGCTAGTAAAGAGCTTTGCGCTTTAAAAAACACATCTTCGCTACCAAATAGTCACTCAACCATTACAGAAAACATAACAACTTACGAAAAATATAAAACTTTAGTAATACTCTGATTCCTGGACCGGAATATTGGTAAATGGGTACAGTTACAAAACTCGCTTTGCATGATATAATGTCACTAAATTTAAGAGAAAATTTTAATGTGTTTTCCAACAAAAAGGTAACTTTATGAACTCCAATAACGTTATGAACTCCAATCATTAATTCAGAAACAATGTGGTAAAATTCCACTTGTGCATCTGTCAACAGAATCAGCCCTATCTGTTAAGATAGATTTCCTAAATGGTGCTTGAGTAAGGTTCTCAGAGTATAAAAGCTTGACCTCACGGAGGGTTACTTGCTTAGTGTGAAATGCTAAGTCACTATTAAGGAGGCTTTTGGCAGAGATAAGGGGTGAAGCAGATCCTTTAATTGACTATACCGGTGGCATAAACAAAGCTACTAAGAAGCCCCCATAATAAGGTCTCTCAAGCATGTAATACATTCCATCAGAACAAACTCACAACTCAATGGGATAATTTTCTTACATCAACCATAACTCAATCCGTTCAAACAATTTAGTAAAATGTGTTCGAAAAAAAACACAGCAGTTTTCAGAGAAGGACAACGCATGATTTGGAAGTAAAATATAGTATAAGGAGTTTATCTTACTGATGCAATAATAATCAGCTGTCCAGCCCCAGCAGAACCGCCAATGACTGCAACAATCAAACTAGGGACTATTGCCAAGCATCTGGTTAAAAAGTTTCGAAGCCATGGCTTCAGTCGTAAATCAAGAAAACCCTTCAACAGAAAATAAAGGAATATAAAGTTAAAAACACGATGAGACACGTGAAATTTAATTTTGCTTTTTCAATTAACCAGTGGTACAGAGAAATGTATTTCTTAGATACAAAGCAGCCATATATAAGTTAAAAAACATTATTATGCCTTGAACACTAAATTTGTATACTAAAAGTTGAGTTAGAAACAAGAATTAGGAAGGTGATCTAGGAATCACTCATCGATGACCAGTACAAAAAATGCTAATGCATTAGTACAGTTTTACTTGTTGACTTGTATCAAGGAAGACCAGGACAGAGAAGTAACAGCTTATACCCGACACACTAACTATATTTGAACTCCGAGCATGTGTATTAAAGGGAACGAATGTTATTTTTCCAGCAAGATACCTGCATCACATATTGCCCCGCATATGTTCCTGTTATAGTAGAACTTTGACCTGATGCAAGCAATGCTACAGCAAAAAGCTTGGAACTCCATCTACCTAAAACATTCTGTGAATAAAAATTATAAAACATCAGGATGAAAGTGACCTCTAAATTTGGGATATAACAAATTTTAACATAACATATGATAACCAATGCAGGACGTACTCTTAGTAAAAAGGAGGCTTTATTCAAATCCAAGTCCTGGCAGTTCATCTTATTTTCAGCATTCAAATCTGGGGAATTGCAAACTGCACCACTTACAGAAATAATGGATACATTTATTAGGAATGCCACCATGAGAGCAAAGCCACTTTCTATCATATAAAATCTGCATGCTTCCTGCAAACAAAATATTTTGTCAGATATAATTTCTTAGTATGTTCAGCCATATTCTAAGAACATTATGCTAGGGGACAACAAATTGAGATAATCTTGCCTACATAAGTCTTTTTAGAGGTGATTTCAATAAATTATCCAAGAACCCATAAAGTAAAGGGGGAAGAAAGAGAAGTCACTTAGCGGGAACAGGGGATTGAAACTCTTCTATACTAACTTTTTTTTTTTTTTTCAACAAAGTATGCAACAAACTTCTCATAAGTCATAACGCAAGAAATTAAAACCAGTAACGGAAATTAATTACTTTGATGCCACAGACAGATCGTGGTATTTTCCTAGAAAGCACCAATGCAGAGTGGAGGAAGAGATTGTGCCTGTAGCAAGTAGCTAAAGCTGCTGAGCAGAAAGAACTAAACAAAACAAACCAGTAATGAATATATGAAGACACTAGAAACCTACGGCATAACCATAGCACCAAGAAGAGAAATTGCAAGACCAGTAGCACCATTTCCTTTGAGTTGGGGAACAAAAAGCCCATCCAAAATTTCAGTAGCGTCAGGTTTTGCGTAGCCAAGCTCAGCCAAGAAGCATCCAGCAATTGTGAGTACAAGAAATGCAATCAAGAATTCAAGTTTCCTAACCTGTAAATGAAAAAAATCTTTGGGTAGCTTATTTTAAATTGTACGCATGGAAACCAAAGATCTCCAAGACTCCAGAAATATAAAAAACATATTTACCCCATATTGCTGTAATGCCAGAAGAATCAATGTACTAAGTCCTGTCAGAAGTACGCCAATCCATATGGGTATGTTGAAGAGCATGTTCAATGCAAAGGCAGTTCCAATCACTGGTAAGGAAGATCAGTCAGAACGAAATGAATAAGCATATATCTTATCAACTC